GATATGGGGCCTTGATTATTTATATAAACTAGAAACCTTTCACATTTACTTTCTTTGCAAACTACTTCATCTAGAAAGAACTATCCCAGGATATGCAATTTGCTACGAAAACAACCATATCTGCTCTTATCCATTGTTTTTAAAACAAATTATTAAATTCTACTATTGTTTAAAATTCAAGTGTGACAGTAATATTGCCTTTCTGCACCATGAAATAATTAAATGCAGCAAAAAATCTACCACAATACAACTCTGGCAAACCAAATTAAATAATGTACTAAATTCTTTTGGAGTATCAGACTTATTCAAAGATAATATTCAAGACTGGAAGTTTGGATATACTATGCTAATGGAATCAGTGATCTCTCACTCTATAAATATGGGTCAAAATAGCTTAAATCATAATACTTATCATCCTTGGTACTTAAAAATTTTACAAATACCTTCCTCACAACCTTACATGATAAAACCAATCAGCTTCAATGTGAAAAGACTAATTGCACAACTATGTTTAAATAAATACTCCTTCTATATTAACAATATTTATATTGATCTGTCAAACAATTATTGGTCATGGTGCAGTTCTGGTGACTTTTCTATTGAACACTTACTTCAGAAATGCCAAAAACTCTCAAATGTACGTGACTTTTTCAACATCTCTCAAATACTCCAAAGTGATTCATCCCATGATTATAGAAATTTGCTAAATAACCTGAATAAAAAAGAGCTTTATACCTTGTATAACTATTTCACTAAGATTACAAAAATGTTGTAAATCTATGTGAGTATGTTTTACTTTATCAACATCATATAACTTGACTTTCATTTACTTCTGACTCTAAACCAAAACAGTGCTTATTTCAAAATACCTTCACTAACGTTTTCAAACTTAGTTCTCTAAGTTCGAAAATGTTAGTGAAAGTATTTTGAAATAAGTACTGTTTTGGTTTAGAGTCAGAAGTAAGTCGTATATTTTACAGTGTGTATAGATGAGAGTATTGACTTTTATTGTATAACTATATTACTGTGACTATCAAACTAAAATTTATCTATGTTAATAATGAAACAATATTTAAACTATTGTATAATAAGGGTTAAATACTGATATCCTATTTATCATTTTAATAATATGTAACTTATAAGTCAACTTTGTACAACCCCCTGCAACAGGGACAATTCCCTTTTTGTTAATAAAGATATTAATAATAACAATAATAAAAAATATTGAACATATAATAGAAATCAAAACTTATAAAATTAGAAACAGTAAAAATTCTCTAAAAAGGAAAATGAAGTTATTACTGTGTAAAAATTTTAGAATTTTTTAAAAGTTCTAAAATTTTTACACAGAAATCTTCAAAAATAGAAATCTTTTCCTTACACATTATGCAGTAAATTTGAAATTTTACATCTTTATGTAAATTGACTCAATAATGTCAATTTATGTAAAGGTGTAAAATTTGAAATTCACAGAAACTTGTAAATGAGGAGACAGTCCTTAAAACCAATAAATAAACAACTTTTAATATCAAAAGTAAAGGTAAATGATAATTGATCTGTCCACCTGTTTTGCTTATTTAGATCTTCACAAATTTTTTGTTTCACTTGCAGTTGAAGTTTCAAGGATGATGGTAGAAATAAAATACTGTATTTTTTTGCAAAAAGAAATTTGATGGCAATTGATATTTTAAAATTTATTGACTCAAGTACTTTTCAAATTTGGGGCCAAAAAAGCATAATATATCCGAATCTTTGATATACAGTGTTACCTCAGGATATGAAATTAATCTGTCCCGAAACTGAGATCGTATCATGAAAATGTCGTAAAGCGAATCGTTTTTCCCCATACGATTACATGTAAAACCAAATAATTCGTTCCAACAAGAAAAACACACTCAAATTAAAGCTTAGTAGTACATTGAAAAAAAAATAACTATAGTAAGGAAAACACTGAAAAATGCATTTTATAGTTGTAAATTTATAAATAACCATAATAGAATAATAAAAAAAAAAAAGTTTTATTTGCACTTTACCTTTGAGGATAGACAATGGCGGAGGTGTAAACTGGTGGCGGAGGAGAGGGAGAAGGAAAATGATACTAAAACTTAACTTACATAACTTGATGTGACAATAACTTAAAAATAACTTAACCCTAATTTTTTTTTATCTTTTCTGTTTTATATATTTTTGAAATTTTTTTATTCACTGCTTTTTGCTTTCTTTCCTTCACTTCCACCAGCACTTTCACTGGATAGATGTTGCTTGGTAAAATATCTATTCAAAGAGGTTGTTTGGCTTTGCCTACTTTTTAAAATGTTTCTAAAATGATTTAAGCAAATGTCATTAAACTGAGCAGCAATTCAGCCAGTGTGAACCTTTTTGGGATGTTTCTTTTCAATAAAATCAGTCACTTTCTGATAATACTTTAAGATTTCCTTTATCGAGCGAGATCCTTCCATGATGAAGCAAACATTCAGACTGAGACCAATGAACAGAAGAAACATGTGATTATGGCAGTGGCGCTGTGAACTAATGTAACATCATACAGTAAGTTTTTGTTCGTACCATGGAACAAAAATACGTTTGAATTTCATGTCGTATCCTGAAAATTTCATATGCTGAAGCGTTCGTATCCTGAGGTACTACTGTATATATAAAAATGATAGTCTTGTTTTTTCCATTGTAATGCCTTTCAAGAATATAATGAATAGTTAAAAAAGAATTTGTTTTAATTAAATTTCTAAACTATAAACTTAATGACTGTCTTTTAAATAAGTAATACTTTTTAAAAATTAATGTAATNGTGGCGCTGTGAACTAATGTAACATCATACAGTAAGTTTTTGTTCGTACCATGGAACAAAAATACGTTTGAATTTCATGTCGTATCCTGAAAATTTCATATGCTGAAGCGTTCGTATCCTGAGGTACTACTGTATATATAAAAATGATAATATACTTCAATATAGTATATTATCATTCTAGATTTTATACTATAGTTAAAAAAGAATTTGTTTTAATTAAATTTCTAAACTATAAACTTAATGACTGTCTTTTAAATAAGTAATACTTTTTAAAAATTAATGTAATTATGTTGATTAATATGGTAAATATATGAAAATATCAGAACATTATTTGACATTGAAAGATTTATAATTTATTAAATTAATTTAAAGGAAATATGCTATTTAATTTAAAAACTACAATTAATTTATTTTTAGACTGCTGAAAAGACAAATGTATCTTCAAAGACCAAGACATCAAAATGTCTTCCATTTAATGTAGCAACATATATTGAGGTATTTATATAAGCTTAAATAAATTTGATCTAAAAATAGTTTAATTTAATGAATATGTAAAAATCATATAAACATTATAATATATAAGTACTTTCAACCTGAAAAGATTACCCTCAGGATGTGTGTGTGTGTATATATATATATATATAATATATATATATTGAAAGTCCAAAATATCAGAGAAACATTGTTTTATTAATGTAAATAGTTAATAAATATAGTAATATAATAATTCACAAATTTAAATAATGTGAGAGTTGAATTAATGTTAATACTCTATCTCTATAATTTGAGATATTTGATTTCATCAAAAAGAAATCAACTTGCAATTGATTTTGATTTAATCAAACTACAGGGTGAGTCAAAATTATGTGAACAATCTTAATTTTTAATTAAACATTATCAATGAAACATCTTAATTAATTAACATCTTAAATCTTTGTTTCATTTTCTATTCTGATTGGTCGCGATGGACCATTGTTATGGCCTCCCCAATCTCCGGTGTTCTGGCACTAAATTGTACTGTTGAACGTTTGATTTGAGTGCATTAATCGTGCTGGTGGTCAGGTTGAGACTCTGTTTAATGCAAACTTTGAGTAAATGCTTTCTCTCAAATAGTGTTCACATAATTTTAACTCACCCTGTATAATATTAAATAAAGTATTTATAAATTTTGTAATGAATATTTGATTAATTTTAAAAATGCCTTATGCTCATAATGGAAAAAATTGAATATTAAAAGTTTAATTTCAATATCTAAAAAGGAAAATATTATATATTTTTTTAAGATATTTTTTTATTTAGATAAAAACAAAAAATAAAATATTTTTTATAAGTTTAATTTTATTGTTATTTGTATTTCTTATTGTTTTTGCATTCTATCTTATTTCTTTATTTTATTTATGTATTAATTAATAAATATTTTATTATATCTCACTTAATACAGTGGGTGATCGGTTAACGAACATAATTTGTTCCAAGACCACCATCTGAATTGTTTGTTAATCGATTATTAATTTACCATTGATTACCATATGTTGTTGTGGGAATTTGATTAATTTGTTCTGGAGTTTACCGGGTTTTCTTCCAGTTAGTAACACCGAAGTAGGGACAATATTCCCTTGAAAGACTTCTTGGGATACCTTACCCCCGAGAGATCACCCATGTATTGTATTGAATATACAATTAAACCAAAACAGATACTTGGACCACCGTAAAATTAACTATAATACACAACAATATGAAATATACTACATTAAGATTCAGCAAATGGCAAGAAAATATAATTGCTTTGCTTACCACAACTTAATAACTTATAATTGCTTTGTTTAAACTTATCTCTTCAAATAATGATTACACTGTGTTGCATTGTTCTCAGAGTAAGAAATGCCAAAACTTAAGTCTGCAGCAATTGGTCGATCTTTAGTAAAGACATGGTGTTTATTTCTAAACAGCCAATCAACAGTGAAGATTCCCTCTCTGAAGCCCTCCAGCAAAGGTGCTCTATGAGTGGGAAAAGGTCTAAAACAACAATAACAACAAAAAAGAAAAAACAGCAAAGGTTTATTGAGAATACTTGAAATATGAGGAAAGAGTATTCTTAATACATTGATAAAAAATGAGGAAAGTTGGAAAATTAAGGATCAATATTTGCTTAACAGAAGGTCTATTTAACCTTTTTCACTACTTTTTATCTTTTGGCCTTTCTCTCTCCTTTTCTCAAATTTTTGTGTATAATCCTTTGAGTCACAACTCCAACTTTATTTAATATTCCTTCCTCATTCACACATTTCCAAGTATTTGAAAATATTTCCTTTCCACTCAAAAATAAAATATGTATGAAGGTTTACGGTTTTGTGAAACTTTGTTTTTGAGTTTATGCCATTGAAATAAATAAATAGAAATAAATTTAAAAATTTGTTGGTTTTGTTTACACATTTATTGGGCTGCAGGTTGGACGCCCATGATCTAAACTAAGAAATATAATTATATGCATGCAACTTATTACTGAATACTTTTTCCTATAAAATTAAATTTTTGTTTTATTGTAATTTTCGAAAGAAGTGTGAAATGTTGAAATAAAATAAATAAGTAAATAAATAAAATATACAGTTTTTTTGTTATTATAATTACATTCCATTCAAAGAAAATCAACGTTTTCAACAAAACATTGCTTTTGAAAGTGAGGCAAGTCCATTGGTGCATACCTAAACCCTGATTTTTTTTTACCTAATGTGGATAACCATTATTGCATATTAAATTTACATGAAATAAGACCACAAAAAATATAGAATTATGCTATATATTTTATGCTTAAGGAATATTTTTAAATCCATTCAAATGTAAACCATTAAATATCTGGCAATAACAAAATGGATTTGTCCCACTTTCAAAATCAACGGCTCATATATGAGCTGCTCACTTGCCAAATTGATTAACTATATAAAACAAAACATGCAGAAAAGTGACAAAGTAATATACATTCATTTTTAAAATTTCTTGTAAAATATAAATTCAAATAAACATTGTAGAATGTATGATACATCTACAATAATACATTTTAGATGTATCTTTTATTTAACCACATATAAAATGTATAAGATAGCATAGATATGCTGTAATCGTTATTATTATTACAATTTTGGTGTGATTGATGGAGTTAATCAATTTGACAAGTGAAAAACATAGTAATATCAAATTTAGTCTTCACATTAGCGTACATTTTTATTAAAATTTTTTTGCAAAAAAAAAAAATGTTCTGTTACTTTGCATAACTTTGATCATTTTTTTAAACTATGTGGTAATTTTTTAATAACCTATTTATGATGTCTTAAGAAAAATTTTTATTTCTTCAAACTAATTGACTGTTATTTCTGAACTGGTCTGTGATAGGAAATGAAATAGACTCAAAAAGTTATATATTTTTATGTAAGTCTCTATAGCTTGTTCTATTACTGTTACAATGATTGTTATTTATTATTTTGTTTGAATTGATTATTCAGCAACATAAATGATGTTTTCTTCATCAGCTGTACTTGAGGTCCTATCATGTCAATTTGTTCTTAAATTTTTATAAGAATCATGTTTAATAGGAGGAATGAAAAAAATTATTTAAAGTTTTATCCATCTTGATATAACAGGTATAATTTTTCTTTTTTTCTAAAAACAATTGGCACCAAAATTAAAACAATTATTCAATATTCCACAAATATACTTACTTCTGTGGCAGTTGGACTGTAACTAACTGATTTCTTTTACTTACTTTTTGTGATGAGATAACATTAAATAATTTTTCATTATCTATGAAGCACTGGTCAGTGCACACTGCAGCATTGCAATCGCAGTGTGCACTGGCGGATTAACATTACAGTATGGAGTTAATTAGATTGGCTTCTGAAATAAATAAAATTTTTTTCTATGGCAATAAAATTTTGTCATTAAGTGATATTGTTCCTTGTTATTAGGGAAACTTATTATGAATATAAAAAATTACAAGTATATCAAGTGCTTTCACACTAAAATTTAAAAAAATTCAAAATGTGGAGTTAATTGATTTGGCTTGTGAATGGCTCATATAACGGGGAAAATATGATGATTGGTAAAAAAATGCAGTTTTGGACTTAGGACACCTTAAAACATTGAGAAATGCAAAATAATTCGAGTTTTTTTGTTTTTTAAAGTACTGATGTTAGTATGTATATGGCACAATTTTGTTCAACCTGTTTGAAGCATAATAACTTCTGTGCTTTTTGCCAAAAGTTTCTGAAATTTTGCAGGGAAGTTTGTTTATTAGAGGGATTGATGCTATTAAATTTTGGTGGTTAGAGTTTCAGGAGGTGCTGAGATAATGGGGTCGTATGTATGTATACAGTTGTTATTATGGAAAAAGACATACAGGGAGAAAATAGGAAGAAAAAATATTTTTATCTACAAGTTAGATCACAAATAAGGATTACGAACTAATAAAAGACAATAAAAATAATAATAATGAACACCAAACATTTGTATTTCTCAGATTCTTAAATGTATACCTACTTTTGCACCCTCCCTGTATAACAGCCAGGAAAGTAAAGATCACGAAAAAGATTAAAAAATATTGAAGTATAACTGACAGAAACATTTTATTTATGTTTTAATTCATCTCAGTA